TTGAATTGCTATTAATAATACACCTTGAACCAAATATAGGTGATTACGTGTTGTCAAAGTTAATAAAAATTGCTTTTCAACCTGCCCACTTCTTTTATTAGCCTAACTCACTCAGAGCCTTTGTATGTAAGTGTGACACTTCTACTACAACATTGATATGTGACATTGTAAGCTTAAATTTTCATAACACTATGTGGTTTTTCTATATTAACACTAATCCTTCTGAGATTTGGTGCCTGAAATAATTTAAATTTGTAATATAACACTTTCTCCAAGAGAGAAATTAAAAACTGGCAAATTACCATTTAAGATCATCTGATAGATTTGCAGTCAGTTGAATATTCTTAGCAAGTATTATTAGATGTTTTGACTCACTATGTTATCATTAGTGACCTTGGATAAAAAAATACATTGCTTTCTTAGTCTGTTACTTCTTAACATTGCCAGTGCTTATAATATTGGTTGAATCATAACAGCTTAATACAAGTCAGGTCATCTTAAAATAGTGCACAATTTATATTAGCCTTTTTTGTTTTAATTCCTCATAGCTGAACAAAATTTTATTTTAAAATGAATAGGAGACTTATTCGAACTTTCAAAACAAACAAGAGCATTTCAATTTAGGTGCCTTAGCACTAGAGTAGTATTTTTTTTTTAATTTTGATCATGTGGTGGGCAGAATTCTGACAGCCTCTCATTTCCACCCTATAGTGTAGGTTCCCACATCAGCCCCAGGTCTTTGCTGTCTTAGTGGCTTCTGTGATCAGAACAGGCTCTTCTGGCACACATGCCAATCTGAAAGGCAGATTGTGAGAGGAGGACTGGGCCATGTGAAGTGAGCCAATGTAGGGAAGTTAGTTCATCCTTAGGTCTGAATCTCAAGATAGGTTATGAGGGAAGCGGTTTAGCTCTGTAGCTGGCTTTGGGAATAGAAGAGGTCATGTGGCAAATGTACAGCCTCCAGGGGCTTAGAGTAGATTTCAGCTGTCAGCCATCAAGAAAATGAGGACCATGGTTCCAAAGCTGTTAGCAGTTGAACTCTGGGGATAACCTGGAAGAGCTTGGAAGCAGCTGTTGCTTTTTCGCATGTGCTTTAAATATTAAGGCAGTTATGTATATACATTCATGTGGAACAAGAAAATAGGGTGCTCTATAAGCCAATTCAACATATGCAGACAATTAGAACAACGTTTTTTGTTATTAAAAAAGGGGGATGTTATTTGATGATGAATGTATTGTCAGCAACATGCTGTGGAATGACAATCTTCTAGGATAAGGATCTGTCCTCACGCTGCCTAGGGGTGCTCTCCTAAGACAGCCTACACCTTTCCCTCTGCCTTCCAGTTACTGTTTCCTTACAGATCAGTGAGGAGATACACTGGCATGGGTCTAGATGCTGCCACTGTGCCTTGCAGACTCACTGCAGCATGGCCTTCACCTTGACGCTCCAAAGGATAACTTGAATTTTAGATAACCCTCAATGCCTCATTCTCAGTCAACCTTGAAAACACAACATTCTCCCACTTTTGGGAGAGCAGTGCTATGCTTTTGGTGATGAGGTTGATTCATTTGTGGATATTTTTTTCTCTATGAGTTTGATCACCAAATATTATCTTCAACCACCACAATGCTGGCCCTTATAGTCTCTTTCAAGGGAACAATTAAGAGTAGTGATTTCATCTGTAAAAATGTGATGAAACCATTTAGAATAACTCCACTATAGGCCTTGTGTTGTTTCTAATGCTATTTTAGTAACAGAAATGTGAACTTCTTAGATTGGTAGAGAAAATAATATTTTGGCTTGATATTGGCCTTTAGAAGTAATTGACATGGAATTATCACTCTGTTGGATATGATAAAAACACAAAAGGAAGCTGTAAGAGCTGTAATTGTGTAGTCAGGCAGATGTTCTTATGTTCAGGACATAAGGGACAGGACAGGGTTTCATGAAGAAAAATGAAGAACAGATGAAAAGCCCAAAAAAGGGAAAATGAATGTCTAAGGAAGGCCAGTAACTCTCAGGGGACATGACACCGCTGATGAACTGGAATATTCCAGTTCCTGCTGCAGCACTTACTGCTTCATTCCTTCCACATCAAGAGCTTGCATCTAAATTTGTTCAGTTTATTATTTCTCTGAGCTGTCACCCTCCCCCACTTTTCCATCTGTCTTCTGTCTTTCCCTTTCCTTCTCTTCCCTTGAACCCTCCTCATTTCCTCTCATCTTTTCATTTTTTTCCTATTGTCCTTTCTCTTTCCTTCCCTCTCCTCCTCCATTTTAATTTTTCCTCTCTTCTCCCCCCTTAGCTTTTCTCTTTATCCTTTTTGTGCCTTTCTCTCTTTCCATCCCATTTCTTCTGTCTTGAACATTTATTATTCTACATGCTCAAAGAAATGCAATGCAGCACGGCATAGCACCTATTATTAACCTCATGTTAATAAATGCATGTTTTCTGTGTGAATATTAGTTTATAAAATTTGAAGTTGGTCACAACACTATTGATTTGAAAATGCTTCAAAAGAAAATGTGACATATTGTGCTTCTCTTATGTAAAATAAAAATGAAGTTCATTTTTTCTCTCTCTTCCTGTGTCATTGCCTTTCCTACACACACACACATACAAACTCAGATAGTAGATGGCAAAAACTTCCCTAGATATTCTTAGATTTTTTTTTCATCTGAGCAACTGCAGAAAGAAAGTTTTTCTCCTCAGCAGATTTTTGTATTAATGATTAATATACTGAGAAATTAATATTAGTTTATGAGTTTAATAGCCAATGTTGCTAGATTTGTACCTATATTCTACCTTTATCCAACATTAAGTAATATATGTTTATAAGTATATATGTTTAATTTTAAACAAATGCTTTATATTTGTGTGTATATTGACCTTCATGCCATTTTTTACATTTTCAATTTATTCTAAAACCCAAGCATAAACTGTTAAAAATGTTATTTGACTGCAAATTATTTCATTTTATGAAGATTTATTTATTTTCACTGGAAAGGCAATTCTACAGAGAGCAGGAGATGCAGCGAGAAAGATTCTCTGTCTGCTGACTCAAGTGGCCCAATGGCCCAAACTGAACTGATCCAAAGCCAGGAGCTAGGAACTTCCTCGGTGTCTCCCGCCTGGGTGCAGGTTCCTAATGCTTTGGGCCATCCTCTACTGGTTTCTCAGGCCATAAGCAGGATGCTGGATGGGAAGTGAAGCATCTGGGACACTAACTGGTGCCCATATGAGATCCTGGCACATGCAAGGCAAGGATTTAGCTACTATCTATTGCACCTAGCCCTATCAAGTTTTTTTAATACTGCATATTTGCACATATCTATCTATCTATCTATCTATCTATCTATCTATCTATCTATGTGTTTTATGTGTTTGAATGCATGTTTACAATACAGTCAACAAAGCTCTATATCAATTCCATATTTATACACAAATTATGCATGAATATATATTGAGAACCATATGTATATGGGAATACCATGTACACAGTATGTGGGACATTACAGCCCCTGTTGTTTCTAGTTTCATTTCCTCTGTACCAACTTGTGATTTTTTGTTGATGAACCTGCACAGTAGAACTGGGCCAAAGAACATTGATACGACTACCAAACTGCAAATGGTCTGTTACCCAATTTAGAGCTAAATGTATTCTACAGATAGTGTTATTTACTCAGTTGGGATTGCATGTCATCTATTTGTGGTCTAGTGGGCAATTTTGACTCCTAATGACTGACAAATGGTACAAGCGATAGTGTTGGATCTGTCATAAAGACACAAAAAAAGTGTTCAGCTTGGAGTTAAAAGGCACATTTTGTCATGGCTTGCAGCTTTTTCTAGGTAAATTAAAACTGCGTTAAAGTTCAACAAACCATAAGAACTTGGTTCAGGCTTCCAACATTATTAGGGGTATCCTAAGCATCACTTAAACTTGGGAACATTGATCTTGTAAGGGCAGCAGTGTCAGGATCTAAGGGACTTGAGATGAAGTATGATTTGAGCAGTGTACTTTCCAACAGATTTTGTTGAAATGCCTCCTAAAATATTGAATGATGAAGTTTTCCTGGGGTGCTGCTTTTCCATTTATTACCTAAGCACACCCTGCAATACTCTCCAATTCAACATAGTGTGCTTCTTTGTTGTTCTGTGTACATGTAAATTGCTTATCTCGTTTTTAATTCAAATCTCATCATAGTAGGAGTAAAACTTTTTTGTTGTTGTTTTGGTTAAAAACAAAACAACAACAAAAAAGTTTTACTTTAAACAATTTTCGAAGGGCTTATTTTTCTTTTTCATTTGAAACATTTTCTTAGCTCTAGGCTTGCTAACTGTTGATTGGCATCAAAGTAGCTGGAGGCAAGAAAGAGTAGCAGTTTGATAATCTCTTGAGGTGATTCTGAAGCATACAGAGTATTCACCATTCAACAGAAGATAGGTATCCTCTCATCACATAAGGAATTGGTATTTGACTGAGACAAATCATATGAAGAGTTACTTCTGAAGATTTGCTATCTGACACTTCTCACCCCTAAATGAAAATTAATTTTCAAATGCATTGAGGGCCAACAATTCTCAAGTGGTAATCATATAGTATAAGGAGTAAGGATTTGGGTCCTCATTCAGTGAATAATTGTTTATGAAGCACACATTAAACTAGGTCCTCTGTTTTGATGCTGCCTGTTCCCTTGAGTGTTGCATGAGGGCTCTTTTTTGAGGAGGTTAAAGGTGATTCTCTTGAATTCCAGATAGCTCTGTGCTTGACAAGGAGATGACAGGGTGGGGATTCAGGCAGCTCAGCCTACTTAGGGAAATCAGGAAGTTTAAGCACCATAAAATAACAGCTTTATGGCACAGCATAGGGTGTCATACAAGGTTCCTTCATTAATGATTAGACAGGGTTTGCCATGCCACCAAATGAAAAGAAAATTTAAAAGTTTCTGTACTGTTTTGGACCTCAGTGTCACATTGGAAATGTTTGTTTCCTCCATAGGTTCGAACCTGCGCCCTCCCTGAAGATAAGGACCCCCCTGTGGAAATTGGGGTAAGTGTTTTCGATGTTTTCCTGAAAGGTAGACACATCCTATCTAAGGAAATTCTTTACATTGTCTCTGGACTTCTGCCTGGGAACTGGTACATGAAATTGAGTTAAATTAACAAGGTGTGACTGTTCAAGGAAGTGCTGTCATATCGTTGCTGAATCATGTAGAATTTGTTTCTTGTCTCATGAAAATCACTCTCCAGTGAATTCATATTTGGTTCAACTGGCTAGACCTGAGTGTGGAAGCTGCCCTGCAGGTAACTGAAATGCCATTCAGAGTCAGCATTCCCAGCCCAGTAGGTAGCTGGGGAAATTAGAGATGTGAGCTCCAGTGCTATGGGAAGGAGGCAGAGAATCAGCCAGAGGACTGTGAGGTTTTCTGCTTCCTAACACTTAAACACAATTGCAGATGGAAAGAGAGATGTGGCCAATAATCAGAGGGTATTAGAGTATCCTGCTGCATCTCTAGCTTCAGAAGGGGGAAGAAGAATAGAGTACTTAGTAACTTTCTAGACAGGCCTTCAGGTGCAGACAGTAGCACCTGATAAGACAGAGCTCAATGGGATCAGATTCTACCATCTGTACTTTCAGAGAGCAGGGAGAAGTTCAGGAGTTGGGTGTAAGAGGCCTTGTGCCTGGGTTCATTGAAAAGCCTGTTTGAAATAGCCACACATCATCCAGGCACTTGAGAACCATCTTTCAATGTGTGGAGCACTGGACTGTGCATCATTTGTTTTCTCCTTGACAACAACAACTACCACTTCCCAACCCTCAAGTAAAGACTCCAAAGTTTTGTACCGGTGTGTTGGTTAGGTTCACTAGGCAGAGAACCAGTTATGCTTCCGTTAGTGAAGGAGCAGAAGCAAAAATATTTGATGTGCCTGTTCCCTCATGCCTAACACAGACTCTGTTTCATTCTGCTTTGTTTTCTGCCTGCTAATTCAGCCTCTTGTGCCATTCTTACATCCTCCATACATCTGTTCTCAGACAACCTGGTGTTTGATTGCTTCCTCCCAAGATAAAGAGTGGTCTCTACCCAGCCTCAGGCCTTCTTAACCAAGGACACAAGACAATGCTCTCCTGGGCTTCTTCTGCACACCAGCTCCCTCTCACTGCCCAGGCTCACCTGTGTGCCTCTTGCAGATGATAACCCCCCAGGTCCCTGCTTCAACATACACCTGCCCTTCCTTACTGCATACACTTCTTGATACAATTATATCCTCTTCGTCAACTTTAAAATGATTGGACATTATTAACTATTAATATGACTAGCATGTCAATTAATCAAGAGCTTAATTTTGTTTATTGAGATTCCACAATGGTGAATTGATTTAGCTTTTTTTTTCTCCTCTGTTGACTTTCCCAGTTATCCTTGAATTGGGATCTCTTGCTTGACAGTTTAATTACATCTTAGCACAAGTTTGTTAGTCTCTCTCTTGTGTTTTTTCTTTAACTCGAGTCATTGGAAATTTATTTTATTTACTGAATATCTTTTCCCTGATTTCACTTTTTTCTACCCTTCCTTTCATGGTTTCTCAGCACAGACCATGAGATTTTGGCACTCCTATGGAGCACAAAAGTAGGTATTTGTGAAGCCTACTGTGCTCTTCTCTACTGTTTCTTTTTCTTTTTCTTTTTTTTTTAAGATTTATTTATTTATTGGAAAGTCAGATATACAGAGAGGAGAGACAGAGAGGAAGATCTTCCCTCCAATGATTCACTCCCCAAGTGAGCGCAACGGCCGATGCTGCGACAATCCAAAGCCAGGATCCAGGAAATTCTTGCGGGTATCCTACATGGGTGCAGGGTTCCAAGGCTTTGGTGGGCTATCCTCTACTGCTTTCCCAGGCCACAAGCAGGGAGCTGGATGGGAAGTGGAGCTGCCGGGATTAGAACTGGCACCCATATGGGATCCTGGTGCGTCCAAGGTGAAGACTTTAGCTGCTAGACCACGCCGCCGGGCCCATCTACTGTTTCTTTACTAGACAAAAGGTCAACTCCCTCCTTTTCCCGTTTCCTCCACACTTCTTCTGATTCACCCCTTTTAAAAAATTTATTAATATTATTATTTTATGATACAGTTCCATAGGCTGCAGGATTTCCCTCCTTCCTGTCTTCCCCCTCTACTGATCTCCCCTATATTATTACAGTAGTATAGTCCTTCATGAACAGTCATAAATCCATCATTCTGCTGTTTAAGTGTATCCTGATATTGTAGGTATGGACAATGGCAGAGAGTACAGCATCCTATTGTCAAGATATATTTAACAGTTTCATTGGGAGTCCATCTTTAATTTAGAAGTAGAGATACATAATGCATTGTATCCTCACATTTGGATATGATAGTCTGTATCCCACAGTTAATATATATCCCCTTAAGTAAAAAGCCATAAAACAAAATTAAAAACAGGAGTAAAAATTAAAAAAAACGTGTTATTTAACTTCATGTTGTTGTAAATTTTCTATTGTCTTGACCTACTCTTCACACACATGATATTATATCAGATGTTTGCTGTATTGCTCACTTGACCCGTGTAAGGTAGACTTGTGTTTACCATGCCCTACAGATACAACATAGGCTTTCCCAATAGTGTTTCATCTCTCATCTCAGTGCTCAGTACTTATCCTCTTTATGAACCCCGGCTGCATCAGGCAGTAATATGAATTATTGCTGTTGTTGTCATCATCATAGCATTAATTGTTGTATTATGGGATAGGCAGGCAGCTAGCTAGGTCTGTTGAACAATAAGTTATGGGTCCTCACATGATTTTCTCTTCTACATCCCCTCATATCAATTGACATGCGACTTTTCCTGAAATGAATCTGCTTTACGCAGAATTTAAAGCATGCCAAAAAAATATGGATATTGAATTCCATGTGGTCTTGTGGAGGTGCGTATAATTTCCAAGAGGCTCCCTGTTTGGAGACACCATGGTCAGCCTCATGAAGAAGGCCCACTAGGAAGGGTTGTCTGTCTGTCTCCTTTCCTCCACTCCAAATCATTCTGCCTTGGGGCAAATCTGCTGTCTCACCACAGATATTTCTCTGTGAGGCAAATCATGCCTAATTGTGTTTGTTCACTTTTTCAGCTTTTTATTAAGTTTTATTACCTGTGAAGCTTATTTGTATCAGTACAGAATGCTTGTCTATGACAAGAGCCTGGAGTAAAATATTTAATATGCCTTCATTAACATCAATAATAAATGATAGACCACAGTTCTCAAAGGAAAGATAATCACCCTTCCATGATGGAGATAGATGTGATTTGAACTACAGGATGAGAAGTTACTTGGGGTCATCGCATTGGTCCAACTGGCTAACCTCAGTCTGTAAGCTCTGGCATCCTATGTGGGTGCCAGTACCTGTCCTTGCTGTGCACTTCCTGTTCAGCTCTCTGCTTGTGGCCTGGGAAAGCAGTAGAGGATGACCCAAAGCTTTTGGGGCCCTCGACCTATGCGGGAGACTTGAAAGAAGATCTTAGCTCCCGGCTTTGGATTGGCTGAGCTCTGGCAGTTGTAGACATTTGGGAAGTGAATCAGCAGATGAAATATCTTTTTCTCTGTGTCTCCTTCTTTCTGTAAATGTGCCTTCCCAATAAAATAAACAAATCTCCAAGATGAGAAGTAACATCAGACTTTTTACCTTTGGGACTAGAAATGTAATCCTGGGGGAAAATTAAGAGATAACATTCTTATCTCCAAAATAACACATCTCAAACATGTTGACTTTCCTTCTTTTAGTTTTCTTTTTGTATCAGCCAGGTGCGTTGTGGTTATCCAAAGGCAAGAGTTGATAACATGGCCCGTTATTAAGTGTTGTAATGAGGTTTCTGGCCCAAAATTCAAGGGGTGCATTTGCTATATTATGTCCTCTGCTTAGGTAAGAACTCAGCTATACTTCTGGACTCAAAGAAAATTCTCAATGGACAATTTGTAATATGCTTATTGTATCAATTAGGCATTCATCTGGAGGCAAGTAACTTGACAAATTGTGGTTTAAAATGAATGAGTGAGGTCTCTCCGATGGTATTTGGACCTTTGGAGAAGTGATCCAAGCCTGTGGTTACTGACATAAATGAAAGTAGTCAGATTTTATTCATCATCCTGTTCTGCTTTTCAAAAGTATTGTCCTTTGTAGCAAATGTACCTCCAATATTACATTCTGGATAAAGATAAGAATAAAGGTATAAAAGCTCTTACTGCTGACACTGTTGCTACCAATGTACAACAACTTTCTGAGAAATTTAAGTTTCTGTGTTGTAACTTACATATGTCTGGGAAAATTTGATTCCCTAACTAGAGAGGATTCTGGATAAAATTCCAAGTTTTAAAATTGAATTACTCTGTTCAAAATGGAATGTGGGCTGTTTTGTCCCTATACTTCTGCTCAATGTCAGTATCTATAACAGCAAGTCTTTATTTTGTTCACTCTTAATGTCTCTAAGATTCACATTATGGAAATATCTATTCAGTGTGTTCATTGAATGAATAAGGAGGCATGCTATGATTGTGATTTGCAAATCACTTTTTTTTCTTCTTTTTAGGACCATAACACACATACTCAAAAATCTGCTACACATGTCCAGAAAATTTTTGGAAATTAATATGGCAAAAATCCACATTTAATACCTTGCAGAATTCAGTAAAATGGCAGTTGTGATTATTATAGAAGCAAATCTCAAACAGTTTTTAAGAAGTAAATATCAACAATTGGCCTGATGAGAGGAAATCAGTATCCCTTAGCTTTTGAAACCCTCAGAGTATAGTCTAATTTGTTTTTTTCTTGCTTGCATATTTTTTCAATGGTAATAGTTCATGTATTTTCCCCTTGCTTATAGGTTGGGCAGCCACACTATTGTATCTGATATGGTTGACAAAAAAGTTCTTGAGTATGAAAAAGGTCCTGAATACTTAAGTCATGAGATATTACGTGCCAGCCTTATGCTATCAACTTCAGTTCTTCTAGTAACCCTAAAGCATACACCAAGTTTCCTTTACTTAAACATATAGTTTAATGAGAATAGGTTAAAGCATTTTTAATATAGTCATTTAAACTCTAAACCATCAGAGACCAATAGAAATATTATAGGGGAGGTAAAATGTGTATTACATGTGTAATCTTAAATTTTCTGATAGTTAAGCTTTCAAAAATTGGAAAGAAATGGGATTGGTTGATTTTAATATGTTTAACTTAATCTAATGCATAAAACATTATTTCAGAATATAACATGTAAACATGTGTGTTTCAGCTTCCATTTCCATACTATGTCACCCATATTCAGAGTGTATTTTATATTTAAAAGGGGCTAGATTTTATATACTCAAGGCAGTTAATTTCCATGGAGTAGCACAGCTTTGGAAAGTGTTCAGAGGAGTTTATAGTGTCATGAAAATTGTGGTTAAAAAAGAAACCAGCTTATATTTTGAGTAAAGCCTTTGTGAGTTGAATGTGGATAATGGAGATTTGGCAATGTGCATGAGGCTGCATTTTCTTCTACTCTTTTTGGGTGACTGTGTTGCCACTTAAGGACCTTCTCACGAAGCTGTCCTTAGTGTCCTGGTGAGCAACTTGAGTGTCTGGACTTGCTCAGAGTCTTGCAGAGGCTGGCTGGATAGCCTGCTTGTTTGTGTCCTCCCCACTGAGATTCTGACAGATACTTCCACTGTTCTGCATCGTTTTTGACATTACTATCCAGCCAGGTGAGTGAGTAAAGTCATGCATCAAGCAGTTTAATGATCACCTTCTTTAGGGTTTGTGCACCAGAATGATAATTATGAGTGTTGCACTGTCATGACCAGGTACAAAAGGTTGGAGCCACATGTTTTGCAGGTCGAGAGCCTGTCAGAAAGAAAGGAATTGCCACCTGCCCTGGCTATGAGACACAGAATGATAGGGGCTGACAGAGAAGCATGCTACTAGGGCTCTAAGCTGGACTCTGCATATTATTAGCTACTTCTGTGCTTAAGCTTGGACTCCTGTGGGTCCCAGCTCCTTCATGTATCCACTGATCTTAACAAGCCAAGGTGTCTTTTAAACATGCTTAAGCATAAGCTAGTTAACTTCTACGGGTCCCAGCTTCTTTGTATACCCACTGATCTGATCTTGATAACCCTGGGATTCTTTTAAACATAACCCAAGAAGATACTTGAGTTAGAAATGTCATAGGCCAGTTTCTCAAATTAGCTGTGTATGTCTTAGGGCACTTATATTTATTATTGATCTTTTATCTAGACTGTTTTCCTTAATGTATTTCACCTGAATCTAAATTTTTTACTTTTAAGCATGTAAATACATGAATTTGTGAATTATAGGCATTACTCAAAGACTTTTTTTCCTTCTTCCTACTGTGACTATTCGGGGATATTTAGGTAACGTTCTTTACTTTTTTTTTCTAAAGAATCTGAATTATGGTATGTTTTCTTAATCACTAAGCTAATACTTTTGACGTTTTTCTTATTTCCTGGTACCTTACTAAAGTGTTTTGCCAGGATTTTTTTCAAGTTTCATGTACAACAGAGTACACATTTCCTTCTAACTTACTTATGTAAAGTGGAGACTATGCAGATTTTTGCTTTCAGGCTAAAACTAGGGCCACCTGTAGTGTAATAACCTACATTAGACCACAGACCTTCTCAGAAGAAGACTTAAAAATGAGTCTTGCATATGCCTATTGTGGAGAGCAGCCAAGTTTCCAGTGAACGCGTTTATTTGCCCAGATTTTCAGTGTTGGGGAGAATAGCTGCTTGAGATCCACACTGCAGACATTCAGACTCTACTTGTGAGGATTTACATTTTGTAATCTGTAGATTTTTTCCCCCATTAGTAACAGCACCAAAGGAGAAATGGGAAACAGTGCCTCTAGAATGATATCTGAAAGACAAAAACAAATTTCAAAGAAATTCAGATTGTGTGACTGTGATGATAGTACAACAGAAAAGATAAAATTGTTTTATACAACTTAGTGTTTAGGGGAGACTGTTTTCTCGATAATTGATTCTCTTACCACGTGGCCAGTATGTATGCTTACTGATGGATGATTAATTTTCTAACTTTGGGGATGAAAGGGATCCTAGATTTATTTACACACTGGTGACACAAACAAATATCTAAACTGACAAAGCAAATGTATAGGCACTTTGATGTTGAAGTGTGAAGCAAGTATGCACTCTCTGAGGTTTTTGTAGTTTGTTTTATTGCATCTTAGGCAGCATGTAGTTCCAATACAGAGTCATTTTCAAGATAAATAATATTCATGTGTGAAAAATAGCACCTCCGTTTTGACAGACTGTTAGAATACTTGGATGCCATTGTAAGCTTTGAATTGGAACAGATTATTATTTTTGCAAGCTCTTCTTTTGGTCTTGAGATCAGGCTGTGTCTGATATAGGCAGTGGACCTTGGGCATGGTGCTTGGCTAGGTGCCCTCATGTGAGGTGAGTGGATGTGCCACACCAGCCCCTCTGCTCCAGACACTCTGCCTGCCTGGGATAGAGGGAGACTATGGTTCTGCTTCCACAGCAGCTCCCGATCTAGTGGACAGAAGAAACACTGAATGACTTATGGTCATAAATTTTACTTGCAGCTGTACCTTATGGTGTGTCTTCAGCTTATTCCTAAAAATAGCCATTCCACCTGTCTCTTGTTACATTTCAATCTGGGATATTTGCTGCTTTTTTTTCTTTCTGAAAATATCACAATGATGACATGTGTCTTTTATTTTGTTCATTCTAAAAGTGTTCATGTCTACAAAATCACAGGAGTCAAATAAAAAAGTAACTTTACATCCTTTTACATAATGCAATTTCTGATGAGTTAAGGATTTTGTTTGAGTCCAAATAATGAATGAGTAATAGGCATTTGAATCAAAGCCCTGATTATCAGTGAAGGAAGATGTGGGATAGACATATATAATGAAATTCATGAAGACAATATACAGTCTGTTGTATATTGTATATTCAATGTTGCACTGATTCCCCCCAACTTGATAAGTGACAGTAGTTTAAAGCTTCTGAAGCAAGGAGAATTTCTTGCATTTGTGATAGAATAGCATAAAAAGATATTTCTGTAACATTCATTCACTTTTTGAGGGTAAATAATTGCATGCACGCCTACTATGTGCTGAATAGTGTGTGTATAGTGATAATCAAAACACAGCTCTTGTAGTGTTTTAAAATTTCAAGTGTTTTCTTGTAAGAAAAAGAAGGAACAAACATATGTCAAGTGATGGTCAGGGCCAATGGAGGAAAATGGCTGGAGAACAGCAGTATATATTTGTCAAGAGGACTATTGCTTCTCTGCTTCTCTAGAAGGTGGCTCTGACGAGACGACAGACAGCTATGGATTTTGCTCTGTCTGTTGAAGATAAGTCAGTTTGATTTCTGTATTTTATGTTGCTGTGGCTCCCAGATGGCTGGCAAACCTATTGCCAAAACTTGTTTCTGTAAACCTTCTATTTTTGCCTCATGTTTTTTTCTCAACTAATGATGTCATATCATATTTTTTTAGATTTGAGTGACTTGGCATCTAAAATAAAACTTTGAATTTTGAAATTAATTAATTGGGTTTTCCAGTCACAGCCTATGGATGTCGCCAACATTTGAACTAATTTCTGTTTTCAAATGGTTTTCTTTAGGCCTTTTGTTACCACCTTTTCTGAGAATTTTCAAAAGAGGAGTAGAAATTCAGACGAAAAAACTCTCCTGTGTTAAGCAATTGCTGAGTGTAAATGAAGACTTATCTGTGGCAGAGCTTACTAGTTTTCTGTAAAAAAAAAAAATTCAATTGGCTTCACACACTTAAGTTCAAGCTCTAATTCAAGTGCAGCCCAACAATAGACCATACTGAAAGAATATTCTGAAAAAATAGATCTATCTCTTATAAAGCCCTATACTGTCAGGTTCCAATGGCATTGGGATTAATATGGATTTCATATTGTCATGTTTACTCCTTGACCTTGAAGAAAAAAATGGGAAATCCTATTTGTGATATTTATACCATAATAATGTGCTTTTTGAATTAGTACTAGACATGGATATTAAAAAGAGATGAAAGATTTTTTTTTTTATCCTGGGGTAAAAAACACAATTTAGGGTTTTATTCCTTATATTGAGTTAAAGCATAGAAACACCCAGTATGAAAGGTATGAAACACAATTTTGAAAAATGTAATTGAAGAAATCGCATTCTGTTTTTGTGTTGTGGAATGAAATTCTCCTATGCTGGTAAGGAAATAACAAAGGAAACAAATGGTTTTAAATGATACTGTGATGGGGGGAGAAATATGGCATTTCTATTTATAACTTGTGCAGAGTTCCACATAAAAATAGCTTCAAGTCACAGATTTGTTCATATCTGGAATAACAAGTCGTTGCTGTCGGTGACTTGAGGAAGGTTAATAAGGAGAGCAGTATTGGTAAATATTGAGAATTTATCATCTTTCCTTTTACTCTGCTTTTCAAAAGGTCAGAAAATTGAAGTTAGTGGAAAAGCTTTGGGTTCCTTGTTAGTTTCCAGGCTGTTGGTCTCTTGGTTTTCACTTGTGCACGCACACGCACACACACACACACACACACACACAAGCTTATGCGTTTTTGCCTTCAGCCGCTGCCCTGTGGTGGATATGCAGTTGATAATTGTATCTCTGTCAGTGAAATATTTTTCAGGCCAATAGATTCGTATTTCATTCTTCTAAATTCTAATTATGTGTGGTTGGTGTAATGGCAAAAATGTTAAGAACCACAGTTAACCCTGTTTGTCTCATTTTCAGAGGAGCTTCTTGGGCTATGCCAGTTTTAAAGTCGGGGAGCTACTGAAGTCAAAGGAGCAGCTGCTGTCCCTGAGCCTGAGGTGGGTCCCTCTGTTTGCAAGAACATGCTTAAAGTTAGTAACTGACTCTGTTTACTGATGGCTGGCTACATTTGAAAGGTATGATTCTTGAAGATATTACGTGTCAGCACTCAAACAGCTCGCGTCTCTGCTACAACAAGTTGTAGTGAAACAATTATTCAGGTTTACATCGAACTCATTTCAGGTTGTGAAAGGTTATTAGTTCTTATTGAAAAGAAGTTATCACAATGTTATTAGAATGGTAAAATGAGTTGAAAGTAAGGAAAGCAATATCAAATGTGATCATATTATTGAAAGGTTTTTCTGTTGTTTATCAAAATCCTATGTTTTCAATCAAGTAGGTTTCTAGGTTTCAAATATATTTTTTATAGGTTAACTTTGTAGCTTTATTCTACTGCTATTCTATTAAGCATAAATACTTAGAAATTAAAAGAGTCATTGAAACATGATTGTGAGCATGAATCAAATTTTCTTTGGCATAGGAAACAAAAATCCTTAGAAAAGTGTGGAATATTTTACTGTCAAAGTTATTAAATATGATGAATATTTTAAAAATTTATTGCGAATTTGAAACCAGGAGTCAGTTCCTTTCTAATTGTGCAATGATGTATAATTCTGTGTGAATAGATAATACTTTCTTAAGCCAGTATTATACTAACAAATATAAAAATTGTATAACATGCGATTTATTTATTATATATAGTATCCTGTTTTGGTAAAAGCTTGAAAGTGAATTCCAGGGAACAGGCCATCTCTTAAGCTTGTTTGTCCCTGTTTCTTCAACAACCCTCCTACAACCAACATCTCATTTCAATAAGGGGCAATTATGCCGGATGACTTCTCTTTTTTTTTTTCTTTTTTTTTTTGTCACTTGTCCTTATCCTTCAAGGTTTGCAGATTGACTTGATGGTATAATCTAATTTAAAAATCATACTCAAAAGGAAAGCAATAAGTGTCTGTGACATTTGTTGCTGCCATCTTCTTGTGACCTTTGTTTTTAATGTGCAATTTTTAAATTGTGTTATGATTTTTCACTTTGAAGTTCACGGTGCTAGCTTGAAAGGCTGGCTATCAACATCACTGAAACCGTAGAAAATGCCCTAGCATGATCTTTGGATTTGATCTGCCACTGGATTTGTGATAGGAAAAGTCAAACATTAACTTAGAACTGCCAACCATGTGTCTGCTTTCTAAATCACATGCATAGCAGCTCGATTCAACCTGCTGATTCTGAAATCACAATATTGATGGTATCAACCATCGGTAACATTAGCAGCATACTATGCCAAACACCAGTAGTTAATGATTTGAACCAAAAGTCAGAGTTAACAAAAGTTCTTCATAGAATGGCCGTTAGGGAACATACACTGTATCTGCAGGGATAAGAACAGAAATGCCAAGTTTAAAGTACTTCTCTTGGAAGACAAAAGAGATTTAAAAAGTAGAGATACAAACTAAAGCAAATCAGATTTCCGTTTTTGATGTTAACACTGCTGAGTGCCAGTCAGCTCATTTTGTGTGAAAGGAAAATAAGTCACTACATAGAACTGATTTTTCTAGAAAAAATAAATTCATAAAACCCGTTTGAAATATATGTGTGTGTGTGTGTGTGTGTGTGTGTGTGTGTGTGTGTGTGTGTGTGTGTGTGTGTGTGTGTGTTTGGCTATTCTTAGCCAAATCAGTGGGCTTTTTTCTAGTGAACCAGACTGAACATGCAGTCATCATTGTCTCGGTTTCCTATATGTGACTTTTTTTCTTATTCATATTATAATTCTTGTTATTTCCACTGCCTCTGTCTCTGAGGTACTGAATTTAAAGCACGTTATGTCAGAGGAAAGCAGCACTTTTGGCTGGCTGTTTGTTTTTTTAATATCTTCTTGCACTGATTATTTATGACTGTATTCCTTTGATTTGCCAGTCATTCAGGTAGGAAGTATCATCATGCTCTTACAACTGTATACGTGAGCTTTTTTACCTTGATATAATTCATAAGCAAAAACTGAATGAAGTCATTGAAATGAAGGCGTGTTTATACATGCCATTTGTGGATGCTTCTGGTGAAGTGCCTTTTGTTCCCGTTGTGTTTTCACTGCCTGGGACTCACAGTTGTGCTGTTTGTAGTTCCTGTGGGTGTTCTCATAGTCTGTCTTCCAGATCCCTCGACTCTCAACAGAGTTCTAGGAACACCATGCTTTAATCTGGTGGTTGTATCATATGTGCTTCGAACCAGGCATTAAGTACAGTGGGTTTATTTTCCCTTACAGATCATTTAAAGCAAGAAAAATATACATCTAATTTGCATACAATTCAAGTTTTGTGAAACAATAATATATATATTATTGTCTCATAAAGTAACGCTTGTTTGCGTGCTTTTAGGAAAATGTCCCTAGTAACTGATGTGGTTCTTGTATATGTTGTTTTCATTTAAACGTATTGTTTACAATGTTTTTCAGTGTGCTGGTGTCTCATAAGGACTTTATACCTTTATTTTGGACTTCAGTCTTTACTATTATGATCTATTTTGTTTCGTTATTGCACATTTGGTAATTCCTGTCTCTTCTGACATTTTTTTCAATATATAAATTGTATGTTCTGGTTTTGTTCTTTAGATCATTGCAGTGTAGTACTGCTGCACATTGTAAATATAGATTTTTTATATAAAAGATAATAGTTGTAGGCATGTAAGACACTAGCTAATCCTTTCAAGTGGTGATTGGATGATAATAGGAAGAATGAGAAGAAGAGGAGAAAAAATAGCATGTGCTTTCTGTAGTTAAATGTACTAGTACTATCTCACTGACCTTATCAAACTAGCTTCTCATGTTGTTTCTTACTCTGTTTCATAAATTAAGAAACTGAGATACAGAAATGAGTTGAATGAGTTATGTAACACTGCTACCTTAGACAGAAAAGAAAAGGTACAAAGCCACATGTGTCTGACTGCAGAGTCCATGATTTTATGACTTTAAAGATCCGCTTGTCCTGTGAGCAAAGGACAAAACTGAGAGCCAGTTGAAGATAGTCACATGCCATGTATTTAATGGCAACACCAAGACTCAGGTTCACGATCATTACTCACTGCTTCTTCCAGGATGATTACACCGTTGTGGCTGGTCTTACAGGAAGTGACGGATGTTGATGTATCATGAAGAACCTGGGGATTTTAACCACAATGGTAGAAAGTAAAAAATAAATAAACTAAAATAAAAAAATATTTTTAAAAATATAAAAATGCAAAACCAAACAAAAGAAAAATGAAGAAAAACTTTTGCTGGATTAGGGTCATTGGAGATGAAAGGAAACCTATGAGATCTTCTGATTCTGGTTCAGCCATGATACACTTGGGCATGGACCTGGTCTGCTCCCCCACCTACTGACATCATTTGTTCCAACAGCCTGACCCACATTTCTTGAGACAATACCAGTATCATCATACTATTTTCTTATTATTTAATTACAGAATAAAAAATATACATGTTTTAGGGAATGATAGCTGCCATCACAGGAAAATGACATTGCTCCTGATATACTAAAATAATCAAAAAGGTAAAGAAACAGTAACAGCAATAACACAAAAAAACACGGTAAAACATCTTTTCTAGGAAATCCTTCTTAGCAAAATGAGACACAGCAGTGCTTGCATCTCATGCCAGCTTTGTTGTAGGTTTCCTTATCGTTTTATGTTCAGTGCCCATTTATTCAGTTAATGTTGATTGAGAGTTTTTCAAATGCTGGGTACAGGTGTAGTTTCAAGATCTTTAAAAAAAATGGTAGCAGTGAAATTACTTTGTAGTTGATATTACTGACGACATAATTAATGAAAAAAATCTCATTTTTTTATTGACTAATCTGCAAGAATGCAAAAAAAAATAAACATGGTAAGGCACTTTCATGTGTCCTTTGATGTATGCAGAATTGTCCTGTCTGTTTTATAGAACTTGTTTAAGATTTTACAGTTGAATGTTCAAGTGGGATTAGAACTCAGTTTACTCTTTTTATTTCAGTAACTTGTAGAAAGCTCATGCTGTAAGAGAATCTTACTCTTTTTTCCCCTTTTGCATCCTGTCCTCCGGAGAGTCTTGTGCGCTTGCAATACATCCTCTTAACGCTTTCTATGCACCTGAAGCACAGCACAGACTCAAAAATGAATTTTTGGAATTTTGATTCATGACGATGACATATGTATCTTAAGTAGAAACTTACTACCAAACACTTATTTCTAGGTAAAATCCATGTAAGTTAGTGAATATAAAATCCAGTATGCCTTAGAGTATATATGAGACAAATGTCTTTCAGCGCAGTGGTAACTGATGGGTTATCACCTGCTTGAAAGGAAAATTTCTGAAATCTCTATCTCCATATGAACCACTTTACCTTGAATCTCTACCTTGTCACCCAAACTGTAAGGTCCTCTTAACAACTGCTGTGTTATTTCTGCTGTAAACTTTCTATAGGTGATCCCCTAAATTTAGCAACTATGTCATATTTGCCGAGTAGAAGTGCTAAGTCTAGATTACAGATGTGTAAATATTTTTTTCATAAAAAGAAAATGAACCTTCTCTCAATTTTTAACTTCAGCTTGATTAAAGTCATGTTTTCAAATACAGATATGACTCCAGTGATCCTAAATAGGAATGCAATGTTATGTTTTTTTAATTTTTTTTGATACAATTTAGTTGGCAGTGGGCTCTCCCCTTCTTCTAACCCATATTCCCTCCCCTCCATTCTGTTCTTCCCTCTAGGTTCATAATGTGTCCATCGAGAATTTTCCCAAGCAGTGTTATGTTTTGTAATATATAGCTGTAGAGGAGAAGCTAAGGTATTAAAAAAATACCAGGCCCAGCACAATAGTCTAGTGATCAAATCCTTCTCTTGTATTTATTGAAATTCCATATTGCCACTAGTTCATATTCTGGCTGCTCCATCCAGTTCCTGGCTTGGCTTGTGTCCTAGAAAAGCAGTAGAGGATTGGCCCAAAGCCTTGGGACGCTGCACCTGCG